CCAAGTCTGTTTACGGGGGTGGAAGAATGCCACGTCCAGTGGTTGTGTAAGGTGAGTGGAGTTGCTTGGTAAAAATACAAATTTGATGTTATGTTCTTGACATATTTTAATGACATCTACAGATAGGTATGAAGCTAAGTTGTCACCTAACAAGACCTTCACTCCTTTGAGTTTTGATAAATGTGGTATTGCAATGGTCTCGACCCAGTCTTGAAAGCAATACGAATCAAACCACCCTGACTTCGTTCTGTTGAATCTCAAGTTTGGTGGTCCTCCAACTTTCCAGCTGTCATACATGTACTGAGCTTTGTATACTACATAAGGCGATAAGATGGTTCCGTCACCAGCAGCGGCAAACATAACCGACACTGAAGCCTTTGTAGAGTTCATAACTCTTTCGGGATACTTACAGCCCCGCCGAGCTATAACCACTTTCCGGCCCGGGTCGTCGCATAAGTTGGTTTCATTGTAGTTGATGATATTACTTGCCGGAATATCTTTTAGTTCTGTAGCAAGATGGTCAAAGTATTCATTTATAGTCTCTTCATTAACTGCCGCTCTCGACCGTTTAATATTTTGACACATGCGAGCCGATAGTTCCTTCTTGTGTCGTACCAGGAAGCTGTGTACAAAATCAGGCCCAGGCATATTATCCTTGAATTTTGGGACAGTTTTGCCCTGCATTTCAATATAATCCTTAATTAGCAGTCTTAAAGTAATTGAGTCAATTGGATATCCTCAATCACTGCTGATCTGAAGTCTACTAACTAAGAGGTTTTCATCATATTCCGACAAAGCGGTTTGGCCACCTTTTTTCTTAGTTTCACCTCTTTTCATATGTCTATAAAGTACAGTATGATCTATTTCATATTTTTCTGCAACTTTTCTAAAACTACCACCAATTTGTACTTCATTAAGAGCTTTTTTAATCACTTCAGGGTCATACTGCCTGCATTTTTTAATACTCACATACTTTCGAGGCATTCTCTTTCAGTTAGGCCACAAATCATAACTGAAACAAAAAACAGCTCTTATAGTAATCAAATAAATATATTTATATAATCTGTGATCAAGTTAAATACTTAAAGTCAGTATTTATGTTAAAAATAACAAAAAAAAACAATCAGCTGTTGTTTATGAGAACTAAGGGGTGAATAGCAACAGAAAAAAGTGTGTTGCTATTCACCCCAGGTTTTGTTAAAACCATGCCTAACCTAAAAAATTTATTTTGTATAAATAAGTTAATATTATTTAGCTTAAAGTCATTTAAGTTTTGTTTGTAAGATACATAAAGTCACCTTTAAAACAATATGACAAGTTAATTGAAATAACAGTGTCATACTTACAGTCAGAGCTTTTGACGAACAAATTTTCTCAAAGATTTTCAGCGGCAAATCAATCAACAACAACAACCTCAAACAGGGATGCCAACATAATTAAATATAACTTCTCTAACAAAACAGGTAATTACCCATATTTCAGAATGAAAATTCCCTTTGCATTTAAAAGGGATCATAAGTAGCAAATTTTCAAAATATTTATAAAGTTTTGTTGCAATTCACCCCTACTGTTGCTATACACCCCACCCCTACTGTTGCTATACACCCCATTTTATGGTATCTTCAAGTGACACTTTTCTATATCAGCATGTAAACACTCCAACTTTCCAAGTCTCAAATGAATTAGCAGTTAATATATTGGATTTGATTTTTACGACTGAATCTGGAAATGTATGTGCAATAGATACACATTTGTGTTTGGTAATACCATTAAAGGACACTTGGTAATATTTTTTAATTACTTTCTTAAAAATAAAATGAAACTTCTACCTGTGAACTGTAATAAATTTGTTTACAAAAAAGCAAATTATGAAAAAATTTCTCAATTTATTTCAAATGTTGACTGGGTACAACTGTACAAAAATATACCAGTTCAGGATATGTATAATGAATTGATTTATTACTCCAACATTGCAAGCAATTTATTTAATCCCACTACTGATGTTTCACAAATTAGAAGTATGGAAACTCCTTGGATAAATAAAGAACTTAAATACCTGATTAGGAAAAAGAAAGATTTGTGATACAGAAACTTTGCTCGAAAATGGAAAGATGCTAATTTGAGTAAAGATTATAAAATACTATGTCGGATTATAAAATCTGAAGTAAAGCATTCTCAAATAAATTAAGAACAAGACCTAGTTAAAAAAAGCAAAGCAAAATTCA